GGATTTTTGGCAAAGGTCAGATAAGAAACTATGGACATGAAACAAGGAACTGTAGAAGGTTAAGGGAGGACCCAAAACATACCATGATGTGACTATAGAGGCATGCTTATAGGATCAAATGGTATAAATACAGATGTAACAGGAGAATAAAGAGAGAACCTGGCTATGCTGATCCACTGAATGCTGTCTCCGTGTCATTCATTCTTCGCCGACTCCGTCCACACCTTTGGGAACCCCTGGACCTGCTGGGGCTGGACCCCAACATTTCTGAAAATACCATTTGCCTTCTGCGAAGCTGGGGATGTGCAGCAGAAGAGAGTGCAGCAGGCTGAGGAGCAGGGTATGTTTGCCAGAGCAGAGGGACTTCAGAGAAGAGGGAAACGCTGGCTCAGGCCGTGAGCTTTATTCAGCAGGTGGACTTCACAGCTCTGCCTTTGCCAGGCGCAGGACTAAGCTTATCGTTTCTGAAATGAAGCGCCAGAGCCAACAGACTTTTCTTATTGATCATTTATTACAGATTACGATATGAGAGATACTATGTTTTCCTATCTTTGCAGAGCAACAGCAAGAGAGGCTTGACATTCACAAACTACTTTTAAATGACAACTATTCAAATGCTACCTATTCTATAAATCCTTAATGATTTTTTTCCTTAAAAAAGTGTCATAACTTCCAATAGAATTTCATAAAGCATCGTAACGTTGGATAGAATTTCATACCATGACCATAAACATAGCCACAGTTCTGCCCAGGAGGCTGCGTTTCTAGACGTCCTCCGCTCCCTGCCCTGCCCTTCTTCACCTTCACCTGGTCCGCTACCGGGTGGCCCTCCTTCACCGTCAGGTCAAGTCGGGATATCTGGGGATTTGAACTGGATCCTGCTGGGAGTTCCTAGTGGCCTAGTCCCCATCGCTCTCACTGGAGCTGGTGCTGTCAGATGACTCACTGCTGCCGTGCTTTCTGGGGGGCCTCACCCTCCTGCTGGGGTGGGATTTTCTGTGAGCCCAGGAGCCCCTTCTCCACGGCAGACCCTGACCCCAGGCGGAGCTGTTCTGCCTGTGGGGTCCATACTGATTTCTCCCACTGTGTGCGGGTATAGTCCCCTCATTATTGGGGTCACTGTGGGGACCTATTTCACTTTTAATGTCATTGTCAAGGCCCTGAGGAGGAATGAGCTGGCCGGGACTTTGGCTCTTACTAGGAAACATTTGCTTTTCACTCGCGGTCACTTGGTTCCTGTTAGAATGTTCCGTACCTTTCCTACTCCCCCCTTTGCCATTTCTCGGGATTTCATTATAATTCGTACTTTCAGCAACGTCGCGACTGCCTTCTCTTCTTTTCTCTTTTGGGGGTACATGAGGGTAATGAAACTCCACTTTCCCTTGGTGAGCATTTTGGCCGCCTGCATCCACTCTGTTTCCTTCTTTTCCAGGGAGTTCCTTGAAATTGGTGCTCCCTATGATGTCGTTGCTGCCCCCCACGAGGCTGACATCAGCGGTGTTTGCCTCTCGTGCTGTTTCACCCTGGGTTCCAATGGCATTTCTGCCATCTTCTGCTCTCTCTGGGATTTCATTATAACCCGGGCCTCCTGCTTCGGGGTCAATGGTCTCTGCTTCCCCCGGGCCGGAAAGCTCTGTTTGAATATCTGCACCCTCCAGGTCAGGACCCATAGCTTCTCCTTTACCGGAAACATCCTTAAAAGGCTGGCCATCTCCACTAAAAGGAGAGATACTGTCCCCCCTCTCTTGCAGATCTGGATAACCGCTGCCTTCGAAATCACTGGGGATTTTTTTGAGTTTGGGGAACTGTTTTAGATAGTCTGTGTTGTATTGGATGTGGTGTGTGCTTTTGCCTTTGGCTGGAATATCGGGGGCTTGCGGATCTCTTTGATGATTCTTCTTACCTTTTGAGGGGGCTTTAGCATGGTTTGCACTTGCTGGAATTTTGCTTGGAACATTCCTGGGTTTGATATCTTTGTTTTCGTCCCCTAATGGTTCAATCACAGCTCCTGGCGCCATTACAAGTTGTGTATTATTTCTGGTGAGAGCTGCACCATATTCTTCTTGGTCATGAAGTCCGCTGAGAACATTGTCTCCATCCTCAGACCCATAATTCCCAGTGGATTCGGGGTAAATGGGCGTCTGTAGGTCATTGTGGGCGTTATCTTTGTGACTAATACTATAGTCTTCATTTGTTGTCTGTCTATTTTCAAAAAGATTTTGGGATTTACTAATTTGGTTATTTTTATCAACTCCAAGGAGGGACAAGTCTTTCTCTCTCTCTTGGGCAATGTTGTCTTTAAGTGCTGGCTCTTGATTTCTTCTCTTGCCAGAAAGGTGAAGAGCAATATTGTCTTTGTTTCTTTCTTCCTGGTAAAGTGTAAATTTTAACATAAAGTGATTATTTTATGTTAACTTTTAAAAATCTAATAATTCTTAGGAGACATATATTTTAAAAAAATAACTAGATACTTAATACAAAGATTCTATTAACTCAAGAGAGGTTTATTAGTAGAGCTAATTCTGGAATGGCCAAAGCAGGTTTTATGGAGAAAGAGGGATGAACAAGGTTTGAAGGATGGGTAAGATTCAGATACATGGAAGGGAAGTGATGAGAATATTTTAAGAATAAGTTTGCATATTCAAAGGTTTGGAACCAGGAAACATTTGAAAGATACTGTGAATGAAACTATAAGTTTAGAGTTGAGAAATCCTAAAGAAGCGAATAAGAAATAAAATTGGAAATGTAGATGATTAGGGCCTGATTTTGAAGGAAGACAGAGTGTAGTCTTCATCTTGTGACTAATGAGTCATTGCAAGTGACACAGAGCTCATATTTTAAAAACTATTCTCTCTCCTATTCTCATATTCTTCTCTCACTCTCTCTATCAAATATTGTACTGTTCTACTTAAAGGACTGCCTGTTTTTATACATGTACTTTATAAATGTTAGAAGCAGTGAGGAAATTGTTGCATCAGCTCACACTTGAATCTCAAGATAAAAATGGTTTATGGACATGCTCTCTATTCTTATGAAGCTGGCTAATAAGCAATATACAAAAGTTCCAACTTGTAATATTTTTAAGAGCTAATATAAAATGATTTATCTGAGGAGTTATAACATCATTGTTCACTAATATTTTATTTGGCAGGCATATTCTGAAAATAAGTTTGCAATGAAAAAAAATATAATAGAAAAAAACTTTATAGTGAGTTGTTTTTAAGTAAGAAGTATTTTATTTTATTTTTTAATATATATTTTTATTGATTTCAGAGAGGAAGGAAGAGGGAGAGAGAAATAAAAACATCAATGATGAGAGAGAATCATTGATTGGCTGCCTACTACATGTCCCCCACTGGGGATCGAGCCCACAACCCGGGCATATGTCCTGACCAAGAATCGAACTGTGACCTCCTGGTTCATAGGTCAAAGTTCAACCGCCGAGCCATGCCAGTCTGGCAAATAAGAAGTATTTTAAACATTTGACTTATTTTAAGACATTAAATCTTGGCAAGTTTTACATGGACATTTATATTTCCCTTTGCAATCAAGTTCGTTTGCTTATTGCTAATTATTCTTTTGAGTTTAAGCAGGTGCATTAGAAAATCATTAGATTATAATAATTCCTTCTTACCCTTTCCCCCTCTGTATTCTGAAGTGAGAAGTTTTATTTTACATTTAGTGCTTTTACTGCTTTTAAAACAGTAGCATATATACTAATGAATTCTGTGCATTTTACTAAAGACTGAACAGAGTTCTTTTATGAGTGAAAACATAAAACAACTTTTAATTTGTTTTATGTGGTGCTCAATTATTTTTGCAATTGCTTGTGTTAACTGATTGCCCGATGGTTGCACTGTTGACTGTGTGATGATCTCTGTGTCAGTTGGCTGGTCTGAGTTCCTCTGCTCTGTTTTTCTATCTGTACACCTTCACTTATATTATTCTTTTGGTGGATATGGCCTCTCCCAGCTACCTGATTGCTCAAATCCTACTCATCCTCCACAGCTCAATTACTCCCATTATGTACTTTTCCCTGAATACCCAGCTAGGAACTAATCTTTTTCTAATCCAAGCCCGGAAGCATACTATTCTGAGTACCTCTTAGGTAGCACTTTGCACATTCTGTCTGGGGTTAATGATTTTTGTAAGTGCCATTTGTTTCCTTTATAATTCTAACATCCTGGAAAGAGAGAATTAAGTTCTCTCAATCATTTCATTTCACATAGCACCTTGCACAGTAGGAAGTGCTCAATACAAAGGTGTTCCAACAAATAAGTTTAACAGGAAGTTAGTCTTAGAGATGCTCAAGCAGAATAAAACAACATTCTGAAGGGAAACTACAACTTTCATGGGAAATGAAGCCAGATTTGGGAAAAAGTAAGTAGTCCTTTTCCTGATGGCATTTTAAGCTGCGTCCAGCTCCTTGGCCAATGAATTTACAAGAAGGAACTGAATGAAAAGAATTATTGTTCCATTCCAGAGACAAGGCCCTTATTCTTTCTCTTCTGAAAATCCTGACACAGATGGTGTCCTCTGTGCAATGCATTTAAGGGACATTAGAATGTGTCACTCTTTGGGCCCAAGTGACCTCTAATCCTCACCATTAGAGCATATAGTACCAGAAAACCTCCCTATAAAACACCAAACATTAATCAGAAGCAATAAACCAAAAAAATTGTCATGGGTGTCCAGAGTCCACCAGTACCACACCTGGCTCAACAGGTCCTGAAGGAGGGCAAGGTTTGGGCCAGGGCCTGGGTGGCCCACCTATGTCAGGAACACAGAGTCCCGCAGCAGAGCCGCCTGAGGAGCCTGGGGTGTGAGGGAAGGACAAAGGCACCAGCCGCAGACCAAAACCCCAGAGCAGGAGAAAAGTAAACTCTGTCCCCCTAGAATTTTCCCAAGTTTAACTCCTGATAAGGATCATCACTCAGAAATTCAGCTTACCTTTATGTCCGTTTGGTTTTTCCTCCCAGGTAATGTGTAAACATACTTGAAAATATAATACCCATGTTTCTCATGGTGACCCTTGTAGGTGACCTACAAAAATACAACATTCTATTACGATGGGTTTATCTCTGACTACGAAGTTTCCTGGCTCTCTTTTTCATAGTACAGATATTTTAAAATTTGGGAGAAGTCTAATTCTGCCTCTCACAAATGGCAGTTCTTCCTATAACCACAGGAGGGCGTGTGTCCACCAGTCCCTGAAGACAGCCTGTTCCTTTCTTTCCTGCATGTCTCTAAACCCTTTTTCCTTAAGGATGACTATCAACTGCCCTCTCTCCCGGGTGTATCAATTTGATGACCGCATATCAGTGGAAATGGAGCACTTGGAAGTATTTCCAGGTGGGAGGGGGCAGGGGACTAGAAGAAAAGCAGATTTTACAGTATACATGTCTGATGTCAAATTGGCAAAACTCGCAGCATGACATTTCAGTGGAAATGGAGCACTTGGAATATTTTCAGGTGGGAGGGGGCAGGGGATTAGAAGAAAAGCAGATTTTACATGTCTGATGTCAAATTGGCAAAACTCGCAGCATGAAAATCCAGGCTCTTAAATTTGCAGTTTTTGCCTTTGTATTTTCAACCGAGACAGAGAACAGAACATTGTTAGTTCTTGGAAGGGAATTTTCGGAGACTGCCAGAAGAAGCCCTGGCAGGCGGGAGTAAGCTGCAATTTGGTGACCTGAAAAGCGGAGGGGGCTTGTTTAACTTTCTGATGCAGACGGAAACCCACTCCATGTAAACAGAACTCCCCGTTACGGCTCATTCATGCTCTTTCCTTTGTTTTCTCCCTCATTTATTGCTCTGTTCTCCTGTACATGTGTGGGAAAACGGTGTTTGCTAATAACAATATCCCAGAATTTTTACTCACTTATCCCTCTGAAAGAAGAAATCATATTGAAGATAAATCTCCATTTAGAATGCTTTTCTCTTTTCTGTCACACACTGTGACAGAATTAAAGTGCCAAAGTTATGGTGTATGATTTTGTGCTTTCACCCTAAGTACACAAGACTATTTTTGACAGTTAACATTTCCTCTGACTGACTTCTTCCTTTACAGAGTTGAAATGGATTTATTTGAGAAGAATAACTCTGTTTACCCTCTGTTCTTCCACACAGTCTTGCCTAGTTTTCTCAGCCTGTGGTTGAACCGTCTGAAAGGAAACAAGAAATAAAACTTCACCAAACATCCATTCTTTCATTCATGTCTTCAAATAGCAAATCTTTTATTTTTCTCTCACTGGGTTGTACCACTCGATGTGGGAAATCATCCTGACCAGAAAGGATGGATACACTCAGCACGTTAATATTTGTCTCAGTGCTACAAGCGGGTGCCCGCACACCTCCCCGACAGGGAGACGATGCCATCGCCATTACAGAACAACACTGTTGCATAAATTCAGTAATGGTGCCCGGCCAGTGTTGCTCAGTGGCTGAGCATCAACCTATGAACCAGGAGGTCACGGTTCGATTCCTGGTCAGGGCACATGCCTGGTTGTGGGCTCGATCCCCAGTGGGGTGTGTGTGCAGGAGGCAGCTGATCAATGATTCTCTTTCATCATTGATATTTCTCTCTCTCTCCCTCTCCCTTCCTCTCCGAAATCAATAAAAATACATTTTAAAAAATCAGTAATGGCTTTGTGAGTTCAGATAGGCTGCCGCTGGTTATCCTGCATGGAAGGGGAGGTACCACACCCGAGGATGGGACTTTATTGTGCCAGTCAAAAAAAAATCAGTAATGGCTTTGTGAGTTCAGATAGACTGCCGCTGGTTATCCTGCAAGAGTAAAGCCACGGCCCTGCACGGAAGAGGAAGTACCACACCCGAGGATGGGACTTTATTGTGCCAGTCACCTGGGCAGATATTTCTTTCAGGGAAAGGAAAACGGGGTAACCTGCAGATTGGGAAAAAAATAGTTCTCTTGATCTGACATGAAAGTGTCAAAATATCTTGAGGGTATGGCCGGGGGGAGGGTGGCGGGGGGAGGGGGTAAGAGGTATCTATTAGAGAAAGGCCAGAAACTAAAAAGACATAGACCCAGGCATCTTGTTCCAAGTTTTTAGGGTAAAATTTAGGTGTCACAGGAGAGCATGCAGAAAAAGACCTGAGAATCCTGGAGCGAGCTCGCCTTGGAAGCAACGGGCATACTAATTCTCTTAATCTCGGTATTTTTATTTCCTTATTTATTTCTGAAATTCCTCAGTTATCTCAGATGTGGCAAGAGGAGCCAATGGGTGGGAATGGTTTGTGTCTGACTGCGTATGCTGAAGGGGAAACGGGCATCATGGTTGCCGGAAACCAATTCCAGCATGTCATAATTTCAAGAGTTTCATCAAAAGGTTGATGAAACTTGGGGACTCAACAGGGTTGAGTCACTCATGTAGTCACCTGTTGGGACTGGCTGAAGGCATTTCCCCAAACCTGAATAGTATACATTAAACTGATTGCTGCTGCCAGACAGCTAAAAGGCATCTTAATCTACATGTTATTGCCTCCTACTGGCCAAACACCTGAACAGCCATAGGCTAATTCCCCCATTCTGACAATGTTTCTGTATACCCTTTGAAGTGTATATCTCTGCCTCACCTCAGGACAAGTTGTGTTAATAAAAAGCATGGGGTCCTGGGGACGAGGAGAACCTAAGACCTTAGACTTTAAGACCTTAGAACTTAGCTCCTTTAGCTAAGCTCCTCTGACCACAAATGCCTTTCAAAATTATATTTCGTCTCCGGACTCTTTATTAGTCTCTGGGTTCCTATGTCATCTACGCACAGCCCCTTCTCCAGATTCCTGAACCCTTCCTGATGCTGGGACAAGAACCCCAGCACATGGTGGTGTCAGTCGTGTAAGAGAGGAGAAAACCCAGGGAAAGAGAGTATTATGCCTGACTAAGCCTTAGAATTCTGTATTTCCCAGCAGTAAGATATGAGCAGTTATCCTGCTTACTTTCAGATACCGTACTTCTGCTCTCTCTGTGATGATCCCTACGCATGTCATTTTCTGAGTTACTTTGCCATCTGGCTCCAGTCTGGGCTTGGCTGATGGGAGACCCACCTGAGACTGAAGGGTAGAAGGAGAAGCCAAGGTATGTCCTTCCCTGCTCTCCTCCTTTGGGCTGCATCTCTAGGATTGCATGCATCTCTTTTGTGGTCCTAGTTCCTGGTACCCCCAGGACTGGGGCCCCCACGTCCTTCCTTGTTCCTCCAGCCCAAGGCAGTCTTCATGTTGCCTCATCACCCTTGGTTGGCCCTTTTCTGTTCATCCTGTACTTTATAACTATTCTCCAATAGAACCATCCCTACTGAAATCCCTGTCATGAATTTTGTTTTCTTGACTGAACCCTGACTGACGAAATCATCTTAGAAATAAACTCAAAACTTTCTTAAAAGTGCTCTATTGGCTGAGCTCTAAGGCAGATCTGCTTGACATGCCATTTCATTCTAGAAACAATAAAAGTTAGCCTATTATAGATACAGAGGACAAACTGGTGGCTGCCAGAAGGGAGGGGATAGAGGGACGGGCAATATAAATGTAGGGAATTAAGAGGTACAAACTTCCAGTTATAAAGTAAACAAGTCAGGGACATGTAACGTACAGCTTAGGGAGCATAGGCAATAATATTGTAATAACTTTGTATGGGGACAGTCTTTTTGTGGTGATCATTTTATAATGTATCAAAGTATTGAATCACTATTTTGTAAACCTGAAACTAATATAATATCATATGTCAATTATAATACAACTTTTAAAAGACAGAGAAATACACATTAAATAAATAATGAAATATAATTTTATACTCAATGGATGGGGATCTAGAAGGAAGGGTAGTATGATACATATTGGGGGTGAGAATATTAAGATGTATAGCACTTGGGGAAGAAAATATGGCAATATCTAAGGGGGAAAAAAACAGTCCCTTCTACTCAATACTTCTATTCTCAGAAATCTAGCTATTATAGAAAATAAAAATACAACTCTTGCTCATAAAAATAAAAGCACAAATTTGTATGAAAAAAATACATTGTCAATGACACCTTATATTTATATAGCACTATGCAGTTTGTAAACTACTTTCCTGTAAATAATCTCTCTGATTCCCATAATAATCCCTGTGAGAAAGGAAGTAGAGAAACAGAATTGCCTACACTTACACAGCTGGTCGCACTAGTACAAGTTAAGGAGATATTTTGACCTAAAGCCTCTGCCTCAAAGTCCCAGGGTTACAATAATAAATTTCTAAATGGCCTGATATATGGAAAAAACATATTTAATAACAAGAGGTAATGTTCCTATACTTTATATTAAGTACTTTCAGGCATCTTTTATCATTTTATCTTTTATTGCCTTTTTTATGTTGGTTCTTAAATGACCTTGTGCATTTACATTTAGATCTTTGCATCATTTCTCCAAAAATGTCAAAACAGTGAAAACAAATCTGGAAATGGGGCTACAGGAAGGAGAAAGCATAAAAATTAGATGATTAGATACTAATTTTAAAAAGAAATGACAGTTTGTGGTATTTGGCATCTTCTCAGAGAACATAACACATGCGCATGTATTAAAAACATACTTGATAGTATAGAGTACCTTAATGTAGTTCACAATCATAAATCCTGAGCTTATAACAGAGCAACTTATCACAAAGTTTTTAGAGTCAAGTGCATATTGATGAATATTAATTAAATTACATGGCCCAATAATCAAGCTTTTCTTCCATTTTTAAATTTTGTTTTTGAAGGAAACCAGAATATGACTCCCACATATGCCTCTTTGACATAAAAATTATTCTGAGCTGAAGGCAATTAAAAAGTAGTAAGGAGAAAAAGTTTCTCCTCTTCTGCCTAAAGGCAGGAAATAAATTCTCCTTCTATTGCAAAGAGACTTTTACCACCCAGAGCCCACACCTGAGGAATGTGCAAGCAAACCTTGTTACACTAACCCCAATGCTCTTACTTGAGGACGATAAGGTCTCCCTAGCCTAGCTGGACTACCCATAGTCCAAACCTTTTTGTCTTGTCAATGCTTCATAGATTTATTGTTTCTTTCTTTGTCTAAAAGGTAAAATAAAAGCTTCCTGCCCCAGTCACCTATTCAGGTCTTCATTCTCTTATGAAGGCTCCCAGTACATATAAAAATTCAATAAAACTTGTATGCTTTCCTCCTGTTAACATATTTTTGTCAGTTAATTTTTCAGACCTTGCCAGGGACCCTGGGGAAGTCGAGAAAAAAATTTTTTTCCTCCCCTACAATTTGAATCTGGATTCTAGTTCCAAAACATATGTAAATGACTCAATATATACCAATTTCTGATAACACCAAACTATTATTAACTAATTTAGATAAATGCTCAAATAGAATCTATATATCTGGGAGAAAATATCATATTTAGCCATTTATAATTCCAAATTTTGTTTCTATGTCTTTGCAAATCCTCTTTCATTTGAAATTTGCACCCCTCCCCTCTCCCCCCATACCCACTTGGCAGCTCTCCCGTGCATGAATGTGGCCCTGTGATGGAGATGGCATTGTGTCCCGCTGGGGAGGAACTCTGGCACCTGCTTTTGACCAGTGGTCACTGGATTGATGTTGACATAGCACATTTACTGGAAAATGGTTGGAGAGTGCCACTCCCACTGTTCCTTGGACTGTGCTGCTCAAAATAGATTCATCCTGGGCTGGTGGGATTGAGCTGGGTCAGCAAGACCCACTTGACCCCCATCATGCCTAAGCGCATGCCTGGTGGCCCTGATTGAGCTGAGCCATGTGGATTGGGCCTGGCAGATGTCTATTTTAAGCAGCACGGCCCCCACAGGTCTGCTGGAGGCTGTCAGCTGAGAGGGGACAAGCTTTTCTCAACTTCTGCTGTCCTCATCCGATGACATGGTTCATGCTTGTCAGTGGGTTACCCAACTGGTCACCCACTCGCTCAGGACCTATATTTAAGGACTTCTGGCAGCAGAATGACCGCTGGTTTCCATGGTTCTCCAACGGAAAGGTTACTCTGGGAAGTTCGGATGCTTTCCAGACATTATCTAATTGGCACCATGTCTGCATTGCAGAAAATATCGGTAACGCTCAGCATTTTCACAAGGTAATTTAGTCACATCCTGAGTACTCATCTGGGTGAATCAGAGGGGAAAAGAGACTCAAAGGAAATTGGAGCTTGATCTGGGGTAAGCGTGGGGCACTCCCTCCCATCTTTAGCCTCACTGGTGAAGAGAAAATCATTACCAAGATCTCAGAGTGTTGAGGTGTTACAAGAATTACAGGAAAGCTCTGCTCCTTTTGTGTTGCCATATATTTACAAAATCTAGTTGTTTAGCCTTAAAATATTCAAGTAATTTTTTTTTCTGTTTTTAGTAAGATATTAAAAAGTTCTTTTGACATGTTATAATTTGGGTCTCTGAGCCTTTTCTCATTAGCGTTAGCTGATTTGAAACACTGTGGCTGGCTCTTGGTTTTCTCAAAAGTACTCTTTTTGGTGTTTCCTAAAAGGCAGTGTTTGGACATGCTGAAATTCAGCACTTGTTCATTGAAGGCCTCCTTGGTGGGAGGCTTTGGTGTCTAGTGCTGGATGCTTTCTTTTTGCTTCATTATCACTGAACTAGGTAAGCGTTACTAACTTGAAAAGACATTGCTTAAGAGAAAAATAGGTAAAAAGAGCAATAGGTTTTATGACGCATAACTGAAATGGGAAATGCTTACTGGTGCTGCCCAGGTCAGATGGGATAGAAGCAGTCCCAAGCAGACAATTTGCATCTTGGAGAATCTCTGTAAACAGACAATATATTTTACCTTAAAGCATTGCCAATTACAAACTGCAGTTCTAAGAAGTAATGTAATACAAAAGTATATTCAAACACCCTTCCCCTAGAAGTCCCTTTTTAATTAAAAAACAACAAACTAGGTATAATTTACTTATACCCAAGTGTGGATACTTTAATGAAAGTGCTTTCATATGTCTAAATATTCCATGTGAAAATGAAAATTGTCCAATATTTTGTTTTTTAATTTTTATTTTTTAATCCTCACCTGAGGGTATTTTTCCATTGATTTTTATAAAGTGGAAGAGACAGGGAAAGACAGAAAGAAATATTGATGTGAGAGAAGCACATCGATTGGTTGCTTCCTGCATGAGCCCCAACCAGGGCCTGGGTTGGGGAGGAGCCTGCAACCAAGGTACATGCCCTTGACCAGAATCGAACCCAAGACGCTTCGGTCCGCAGACTGACGCTTTATCCACTGAGCCAAACCAGCTAGGGGTATCCAATATTAGTAAGGCAATGAAGTCAGTTCAAATAAATGAATTTTATAGACTTATTTATTTGCTCTATTGTCAGCCTAAACTTTTTCCTTTTGTCTTTAGAGAGAGATCATTTAATTTATTTACTTATATAATTCATAATAACATTAAGTTTAGTATAGCAGCTTATAACATACTCTTTAAATGATTTGCCAGGGTAGCAGGCTCCATGGTGAGGAATATAATTTTGTCTGCTACCAGACTGGTTCCCCAATATATGTTCTTATATTCATTAGCAATGAATCTGATCTAGTATCCATCCATGGGCTGGAGAGTGAAACAAATGATGTAATATTTACATTGATAGCTAACATATATTAATACTAAAATGAGCCAAGCATTATTCTAAAAATTTTACACTTATTCAATTAATAAAGCCCCATAATATCCCTATGAGTTAGGTGGCATTACTATTCCTGTTTTATGTTAGGAAATAGACACAGAAAGTCAAGTAACTTGTCCCAGAATTCCCAAGCATTAAGGGGCAGAACTGGGATTAATAACTGGCAATGTAGCCAGAGAGTCAGTATTCTTAATCAAAACTTTATGCCACTTGGAATGTTTTCATTCTTTCATTTATTATAGAGAAATCTATATGTAGTTGATTTAAAGGCAAATAATATTTGATATTGGGCTCAACAAAATTATGTTCAAAACATTAACATTTAATGAACCAGAATGACAAATCTCAGTAAAAAGGGGGGTAGAGGGGATGGGAAGCGATTAACCAAAGAACATACATGCATATATGCATAACCCATGGACACAGAAGGTAGTATGAAAAGGCTTAGGGTGGGGTGGGACCTGGGTGAAGGGGGCAAAGGGGGGAAATGAGGGACATCTGTAATACTGTCAACAATAAATTAAAAAAAAATTATCATTTAGCTATGGATAAAGGTACATGTTTATCCTTCAGTAAATACACTAAAAGGATCTAGTTAGTTCACTGAAGTCAAGTGGCCATTAGATTGAAAATAAAAGTCAACATAGCATTGAGTTACTAATCTGTTGATGTTAATAAACATTAAGTATTTTACTAAGTACCACACAGACATATAACAACCAATATGAGAATAAAAAATGTATACCACTCTTTGAGAATACTTGGGGAAAAGCACTTTTAATGGGAAAAAATAATCTAAATACTGTTGTAATCTTCAAACATTTCAGGGTTAAAAACACCTTTTATTTGAAGAAATACATATAACTATTAAATATATTCTAAAATTCTAGGCTATTCTCTTCAAAATTAATGTAATTTTAAGAACCTTATTTCTATCTGTAATGTAGCCATCCAAGCATTTTACAGATCAGGACAATACAAGTCACTTATTAAACGACTTAATGCTGAGAAATATCAGTCCAGATGATACCGGCACAGACGAGGTTGGAAAGTATGAATAAGATAACATTATCTTTATCCTGGTTTATAAGTGAAGGGGGAGAGTAGTATTAGAGTCGTTGAGTTATTGTGGATCTTGATAATGCTGACAGTTAAATCAAAGAAGAAATTGCCATCAGTTTTAGCTGTTAATTTCTAGAGCTTGGTAATGTACTTTCTATTGTATAAAACAAAGCACTAAATATTACACAGTTGTGCTCAATAGAGAATACCTTCAATTTGCATTTAGTTTCAAAAGTCATCTCTCTACCTGGTTGGCATGCATCCTGAAAATGTAAACAATTGCATTATAAAGCTATCAAGAAAGTCAAATTACCTGGTATCGTTTAGCTTCAGAATACCTGGCTTCTTCTTCAGGATTAGCAGTTTCTGACATTTTGCTGAAATTTAAAGTTTGTTAGAGTTCCCAATGGCCAATCAGCATTGGCTCACTTAGCACTAGCAAAAACAATTTGTTACCAGTGCCCACAGATAACCATAGGGGGCAAAGTAATTTTAATCTAAAAATGTTTTTGCGGTGGAAAGCTGCTATCAAATGTTCCAGAAAGTGGAATAAACAGAAAATATAAATACCTCAGTTTGGTATATCATGTTGTCAGATCATTAAAATTGATTTCAAAACTATTGATTAAGACTGACTGAATAATTAACAAGTTTAAAAATGGAAAACATTTTAGCAATCATTTTACGTAGAAAGTTTATAATTTCAATTTTGTCTGAATTAAATTCAGTAGCACTTAAGAAAAATGTTGAGTGCCTGTTGTGTGCCAGCCACTGGGGAAACAGCAGTGAACAAAACAGAAAAAAATCCCTGTCTTCATAGTTTATAATCTGGTGGGGAGACAGATCATACACAGAATAAATAAGTAAAATAGAGTAAGTTATATAGTGACACAGACTTAGTCTAAGAAGAAAAAGCATTGCAGGAAGGGGGTGGGGACACTAGGTCAACATTTTAGATATAGGGAATCCTGGGAAGGGCTCATTGAGAGGTGACTTTTGAGTAAAGACCTGGAGACATATGACTATCTAAGGGAAGAGCATTCTAGGTAGAAGGAAGAGGAAGAAGAGGGCCCAGAGGCAAGAGCCTGCTCGCTTCTTCCAGAAACAGAGAAGAGGTCAGCTTGGCTGAAGGGACTGACAAAGAGAATAACAGGAAATGAGGTCAGAAAAGCATCAGGTGGCAGGTGATAAAGGGCCTATGGGTCATGGCAAGGCTTTGGTAGGAGAAGGAAGCCCTTGGAGGTTTGGGGCAGAGGAGTGACTGAGGGAGCAGATGAGGTAGGAATAGGCAGAGACTGGCTGGGAAGCTCTTTGGGTATTGTGAGGAAGAGCTGATGGGACGTGAACCAGAGTGGCAGCAGAAGGGGTGGGGAGAAGTGGTTATGTTCTGAATGTATTTTGAAAGTAAAGGCAATAGAATTTGGTGATGCATGAGATGTGGGTCATGAGAGAAAGTCAAGAATGAAGGATGATACCAAGTTTTTTGTTTTGAGCAACTGGAAGGATGAAGCTGCCTTTTATTGATATGGGGAAAACTGCAGAAGAAGTGGTTTGGGGGAAATATTGACAGCTTGGGTTTCACTATGAATGTTATAAAATAGTCAGTTGAGGATACTGACTTTCTGAGTAGGTGCACACAGTATACCATATTGGAATATGCTTTTCTAGGACAATTGCCTGCTCTTCTGTTTTGGCCAATCTGGTTGTCAAAATCATAATTGCAATAGTTCAAGGGATTCCAGTCAGTCTAAAAATATTATAATACCTTGAGGGGTAACTTATATTAGGAATCTGTGTGAAACATCAATAAAAGGTAACAAGTGTTCTTTATGGCATACCAAGTGATGAGAACTACCTATAAACACGATTTTAACAGACCATAAATGATATCTAATGAGAGTTAAGTATAAACTCCCAATTTCTTTTAACTTCCTGTTTAGACAAAGAGAAAGAAATGAAACAAACAAATAGCCCTTGGATAGCTGTAGCTGAGAGAATGGTGTCTTTTCTAGCTCAGGCTAATCCCTGTTTTTGCTTCATCCAAATTCTGAAGCTCCTCTTCTGAGCAGCTGGAGCTGGTTTTTAAAACACTTGCTGGGACTAAAATTTGAGCTATTGAGCTAGGGCCACTGTTGACTCTCAGTCATTCACCATGGATTTTGGGGTATTTAAACATTGTCATTGACAATGGAAACCTTTAACTTAATTATATTTAGAATCAAACTTACCTGAGTTCTAGTACTAACTTGCTGGGTCAGTTGCTTAAGCAACTAAATTGAGCTCCTGTAAGCCTCAAGTTTGCCATCTGAAAACAGGGGGAGCATAGTAAAAAGCTAAATTTTCATTGAGTGGTTTCTCCGGTCCAAGCATTATTTTAAATGTGGTACATTGCCCTAACCAGTTTGGCTCAGTGGCCAGAGCATTGGCCTGCGGACTGAAGAGTCCCGGGTTCAGTTTCAGTCCAGGTCACATTCCTGGGTTACAGGCTCGATCCCCATTAGGGGGCATACACCCCTGACTTAAATGGCAGCCAATCAATGATTCTCTGTCATCATTGACGTTTTTATCTCTCTCTCCCTCTCCGAAATCAATAAATATATATCTATATAATAAAAGCCTAAGCAACCATTATCATGGAACGACCAGAAAGACCTGTCGCTATGGTGCGCACTGACCACCAGGGGGCAGATGTTCACCGCAGGAGCTGATGTCCCACAGGGGGAGCGCCGCTCAGTCAGAAGCCAGGCTCATGGCTGGCGAGCGCAGCAGTGGTGGCGGGAGCCTCTCCTGCCTCCACAGCAGTGCTAAGGAGCAGCAAGCCAAGCACTAAGGAGCAGTGAGCAGGTGGGCGGTGAGGAATGAGGGGTCCTGGACTGTGAGAGGGCACAGGCTGGGCTGATGGATCACCCCCCAGTGCACAAATTTTGTGCACCAGGCCGCTAGTATCTATTTAAAAAGAGTAAACTATAACTGTTTTTAATAAATAAATAAGGTGCATTAACTCATTAATGTTTACAAGAGCTCTATACTGCAGATGCTGCTATTATCACCCCGATTTTAGTGACGAGGCATAAAGCAGTAAAGTGACTTGCTTAGGGTCACATATCTAGCATGTATAAAATGCCATACTTTGTAACCAGGCAATCTGACTCTGAAGTGAGGTTTGAAAACCACGACACAGTACTGTCTCAGAAAGTCAGCATAAACATTAAATGAACAAATGTTTACACGGTGCTTAGTCCAGCACCTAATTCTAAATTAAATGATAAATAAATAATAGCTATCCATCCCACCCAGTCTTCCTATCATTAAATGATAATCTGGTATTCAGATGACATCTTTCTGTGTCTCTTTCTGTCCTCTGTTTTCCCACCAGGTCTTCTACGACTTACTTGATAAGGGAAAAAAACAATGCAGTAGTGAAAAATATAATAGAGTTCACGTTTAAGAGCTATTGCTCTAGACATCATAAATATTAATTACCAGAATTTCAGCAAAGTGCAAAGGATTTGGGTAATGCAGCAAGAGACTACCAAGGAAATGGAAAGAAAAAAGACAACAAGAAAGAATGCTCAGGGAACCATAAGACTGAACAGAAAAATAGAGCTATCTAAACAGTAGCCAGATGTGAATACCACAAAAATGCTCATTTTCACATTCCATTAAGGCAATGAATAATTCAGGAATTCCTATAACAATTAGCAAGTTATGCAGTGTTTTATGGTTGTACAATGTTCTGTAATATTAACTTTATACTTTTGAATGATCCAGAGAAAGTAGACCCCTGGAATGTGCCTCATACATGGTACAGCCTTGGAAAATTTTTTGTTGACTTTTTCACTGATATTACTTTATAGTTTCAATAGTTTAGATATTGCTTTTCCTTTGTTTTTTCTTTTCCCCAAAGAAGTTTATTGTGTATGAAAGAGATTTCCCCTTCATTTAAGTCAGGGGTGGGGAACGTCTGGCCCTCAGGCCCTATAAGGCCGTCGAAATCATTTGGTCTGGCCCAGCCAAGGTATAAGGGGCGAGTTAATTAAATGTTTGACCAAATATAGCAGGTTAATTTTTAAGTTGATAATTTTGTATGGCCTGAGAATGATGTTATAAATATCCAAGTGGCCCCTGGCACAAAAAAGGTTCCCCAGTCCTGATAAGTTAATGGAAAGCATCTAGTTCAATCTAGATTAAGCTGTGTTCTATGAGAGAAAATTTTAAGAGAAAAAAGTTGATGTAGCTACTAGTCCTAGCAAGGAGTAAATGGCAGTAGCTAAATATATATATGCTCTAAAGCTAAAATGAATTCAAAGCTAAAAAAAAAAAATTCAACTTGAGCCTTAAATTTAGAACCTACAATTGGCAAAACACACACACACACACACACACACACACACACACACACACACACACACACACACACACACACACACACACACACACACAAACACACACACACACGCACAAAGCAAAACAAAACCAAACCCTATTCTGACTGGAAGGTTACAGAGAAGAAACCCTAGGGAGGAAAACCTGAGAATGACCATTTGTTAAAGTTCTGTGAAGGTGAGGTGTCACTTCAACCCTGTGGTAGCTTACATCTTGGGTTGAGCTTGCGCTTCAAACACTCAGCATAAATTTTCTCAAGTTTTTGTGCAGTTTTGCTGTAAATTTCTTAGGAACCAATAAGCAAAGATAAAGATCAGGGTTCTATAAAAAAAGGTTATTTATCCTCACACCATCTCAACTTAACTAGAAAATAAAACAAATTAGGAAGCAATACAAAAGGGCAAGAAATGGACACTGGAACTTTCTCTGGTTCTTGGTTCATGGTTCAGGTACAGACATCTCCACCGACGGTGCTCTAGCCCTGCTTTCCTCAGGCTGCCGCATGGAGTTGCTCCTCCAAGAGATTTTTGATAAAAGCAGTTCACGGAACATGTTTCATTCTGTGGTAACTTTTTCATTTCTTACCCTTAACTCAAGTGAGAACAATCATTTAAAATAGACCTAACTAGCAAGCTGCAATACAAGTTTCAGCTAATAAACCCTTATCCAGGAATAAGGACTTGTTTTTTTTTTTCTTTTCTTTTCTTTTCTTTTCTTTTCTTTTCTTTTCTTTTCTTTTCTTTTCTTTCCCCGTCTATTTCTGGAACCTCCCATCCAAATCCTCTATATTTCATTATACTAGGCCCAGTTGCTTTGATTTACATTTTTTAAAACTTAACATTGAAAGCAATCTTTTAATCCCCTTTTCCAACTTATTCTTAACACAATTAGATAACACATTGCTCTGTATCATCTTAGGCAGGTAGACATAAACACATTCTATATATATTT